AGTAGAGTAGTGGCGAACTACAACTACAAACCCGCGCGTCTTACAGTGTAACGGAGCAGTATAAAGAGAAAACGGAGTGGTGCGTATGACGATTCGACGCACTGTGTTTTATGACTTTGTGGAGGCATGGCGATAAGCAGAAAGAGCGACGAAAGCAACCGTCACTTTCTGCGGGGAGATATACGAAATTGAAAGCAACTTGTCGCCCTTATCCAGTTGCGGACACGCGTGACTCCGGCATTTTCAGTATACACAGTGAAGAATAGCTGTAGGCTAACGGGAAAAATCACCATAATGTGTGTCGTGAAATTCCAATCGCAAATAGAAATTTTTCAGAGTTCTTCGCATTGACTGGGAGTTGATCGACAAGCAAGAAACGGGCTGTCGCAACTTTTACTACATACTTTAAAAACTAAAAATCAGCTGCAATAAATCTTGTAAAATACACGAGGATATTTTTCACACCGAAGAACGAGTTGGTGAGTGGAGAACTCGTGCTCGTGCTTCACCGTGCGGAGCTGCTGCTGCTGCAAGTTTTGGCGGCGCAGCAGAGCTTTGCTTTTGTCCTCCTCGGGGGCCCCTGGGAGGCGGGCTGCCCGGCGGCACGCGAGCCCGGCGGGAGTGCCTACCCAGGGCTGCGCGGGCGGCCCGGGCGAGCGGCCCGGGCGAGCGGCCCGGGCGGGCGCGCCGCGCAGGACCGCTCGGATACCACCTGCCCTGAGGGGGAGTGGGGGATAAAAATCTTATACGGCATCAGTGTATTGTATTCGGAGTTCATCGAGAACCCCCATGATACTTTTACCCATGGTTACAATTATCATAGGGGGCCCTAATGAGCTGGGGGTGGGGGAGGGTAAAATTCTTACGGCATCACTATCAATGTCATAGTTTATGTAGGACCCTCATGTTTTTTGTTTTTTTACCCCCGGGGTACAAATATCATGGGTGTCTCTAATGATCTCTGAACTGAACATAGTTAAGGCTGAAAGTTAATTTGAGGGTGTATAATATCCCCCCCCCTCTCTTGAACGGTTCCAGTCCTCGGCGACGATTCACACCCCGCCCCCACCCCGTGCGCTCGACTCTACTCGATTTACGCATTGTCCTCTTGGTCTCGCTTCCTTTCGCAGATTAGAGCCCAGGCGCCCTCTACTCCCCCC